CTTAAGAGATTTACTGCTCACATTGCTAGGATGATGTTTTAGCCACCTGCTAGTTACTGAGTTAAGGTAGTTATTTCCCACTGACCTAAGGAGATTTCTGACTAGACCAGGCAGGCAACAGGTGCCAAGCTTTGCTTCTTGTGCAAATTGAGTTTTAATCCGCCTTAGCAACCAAATGCTACATGCTAAGAAGTAGGTTGCCTAGCAACTGAGCATTAAGTCCCCTGCCCTTCCAGAAAGCAGCAGCAACTGGGATGAGCAGGGAAAAAAGCAGCACTAAAGACAGTTTCACTTTTCTAGTGATTTATTGATGTTTATAGACCCCTAACAGTCTACCCAGCCACTTCTAGATTTGAGCACAGAAATTACTCGTTAGAATTCCCTTATTGATCTTAGCCTTTCGTTGACCCTACCAGAGAACTCCCCTTTAATCACTCCCCCTTTGGGGTGTAATTGGAAGCTGACAATTATTGCTTTGTGTGTGGATCCCTGTCACCTCTCCCTGCAACCCTGACACTTCAAGCCTCGCATTACTTTGCCAAAGAATTACTGCTTGTGTATATACCAGTTCCCACACAGCACTTGGGGGGTTGATTTAGAAGAACAAAGATGAGGACAGAGATGGAAAGAACTAGGTAGAGTAATAAGAGAGCAGAAGAACAGAGAGGAACTAAATGTGAGAGCAGGAAAGAAACTGTAGATCGAATTGACTTAGAATAAAGTGAATGGACTAAAGAATACAGTGTGCTTAGATTTATTTTATATCCTTCAGATTAGAATCCTAGCCACTTGTAGCTTCTGTTTTGGACCCTGGTAGAAATTTCCTCAGGGCAGTCACCTGGGGAGAATTTGATACCTCCCCAACCTTCCCACCTAAACCTAGAGCCTAGAAGGCATCCTTTTTCTTCATGTGAAGTGATCTCCAAGCAGCAAGCCACACATAAGCCCACTCTGAATGACCCTAATTAAATTTTGGCAGAGGGAAGAGGATATTAGAGCAGGGAGGGTCTGGTTGGCAAAAAGAAGGGGTTCTGTGGGAGAAAGAGGGGGGGTCATAAATGACCGAGATCCAGTATATGCAGATGATAAAGTGTCTAAGGATTTTTTTAAAACTAAAGTAAGTGGGATGTTGACTTGAGTTTTCTAACATGTGGGAAGCATGTGTTTAAACACTTTGTCAGAGTGTGGTGACACACGCTTCTCAGTCCGTTCAGGAGGCTAAGGCAGGAGAATCATGAGTTCGAAACCAACCTAAAAAGCACGGGGAGACCCTGTCTCAAAATATAAAGTAAAATAGCTAAATTTGCCATTTATTGGAGGGGGTCTTTTAAAAAAACAGGGGGTAACAAATACAAGGTCAAGAAGAAGATCTCCAGAGCCATGGGGAGGGACAGAGGAGTGGGACTTACAATCACTGCTCCAGCTCTCTCATGGAAAGTAGGAGCATGGATGCTGATGAATTATTAGCAAGCAAGTGGTAATTAAACATGAAATCCTCGGTGTGAAGCTTCTGTGCAGAGACTGGTAAATACAATGCTAGCTGCTGCAATAAACTGATAAACACTCCCTTCTGCCCCTCCTCCTGCCCTGCCTCTCTTCCCCTTTGTCCCTGAACACCTCAAGCTAATCTTTGCTCTCTCTTTTGATGGCAGGAGGCCATCTGCCGCTGACATTTTTCTTTCTCTTCTGGAACAGACAAGCCCAACAGAGTGAAATTCTACACACTTGTGCCTCAATGACTCTGCACCTTCCACAATCCAAGCACATTGCCCCCACAGGATTCCACCATAGTGAGGACATGCCTGCCCATCATCACCAATCAGCATCCCACCTTCCACTCAGCAGCTTTCCCAACTGAACCTATGGCCTGGAAGGAGTCGCCTGCTCATACCTCTGAGTGATCTCCATGCACAAAAGCAAGGAGCCCACACAAAGGCCCCATATAAGTCTCACCTTCATGAAGGAGTTGAGGAGGCCTCTTCTGTCCATCTGCAGGAGGTTTCCCAGGAGGGGCAGTGGACATGGTCCTGGTGGGAGGTGGCCACAGGCTTTTGGGTGGGCACTGACAAGAAGCAGTACAAAGCCCACAAGGAGAGCGAGGAGGAGCAGGACACTGGGCTCCATGGTCCTGGTCTGGCCCCTGGTGACTTTACTGCACCCTCCAGAGGACCTTTTGTGCTGAGCCTGCCTCTTCACCTGGTTATGCAGTTTGAGCTCTTCCCGCCTCCCATCTCATCACTGTCCAGGAGTGTGAGCACCCCTGCTTCCTGCTTGGGCTGCTGGTGACCTGCTCACTCCCTATCCCCTTGCTCCCACCCTAAGATGTTGGCAAGAACACCATGTACTGAAAATAATAAAAGTCCAGCCTTTATTGTTTTCTCCCAGGGTCTGTGGAAGATTCCAACCACCAACTGAGGATCTAACCTGAGGAATGTTAAATGAATCTAAGCACACTGAATTCTTTAATCCATTCACTTTCTTCTCCTAAATTCACTTCTAACTGCACAGCTTCTTTACTGTTCTCATACTTAGCTCCTCACTGTTCTTCTTCTGCTCTCTCATTATTCTATCTGGTTCGTTTCATCTCTGTCCTCATCTTTGTTCTTCTAAATCAACCCCAACCCCTACCCCAAACCACCCCCAACCCCATGCTGCAGGGGAACTGGTATATATATATGGAAGCAGTAATTCTTTGGCAAAGCATTGTGAGGCTTGAAGTTTCAGGATTGCAGGGAGAGGTGATAGGGATCCACACACAAAGCAATAATTGTCAGCTTCCAATTACACCCCAAAAGGGGGAGTGTTGTCAGCTTCCAATTACAACCCAAAAGGGGGAGTGATTAAAGGGGAGTTCTCTGGTAGGGTCAACAAAAGGCTAAGATCAATAAGGGAATTCTAACGAGTAATTTCTGTGCTCAAATCTAAAAGTGGCTGGGTAGACTGTTAGGGGTTTATAAACATCAATAAATCACTAGAAAAGTGAAACTGTCTTTAGTGCTGCTTTTTTCCCTGCTCATCCCAGTTGCTGCTGCTTTCTGGAAGGGCAGGGGACTTAATGCTCAGTTGCTAGGCAACCTACTTCTTAGCATGTAGCATTTGGTTGCTAAGGCGGATTAAAACTCAATTTGCACAAGAAGCAAAGCTTGGCACCTGTTGCCTGCCTGGTCTAGTCAGAAATCTCCTTAGGTCAGTGGGAAATAACTACCTTAACTCAGTAACTAGCAGGTGGCTAAAACATCATCCTAGCAATGTGAGCAGTAAATCTCTTAAGCTGGGATCTTGTGTAAATAACCGGGTGTGAAGGTAAGGAGTTGAGTGTCTAATTGCTAGTGGTTATTTTCCTCTATCTGTGGATGAGATGAGCTAATGTTTATCTACCTGCTTTTGTCCTAGGATAAAAAGGTATCTTAGCTGAAGTACTTTTGTCTGGCCAGATTTATGTTAATGAAAAATAAACAAAGCTGCGGGGGGTGGGGGGATAGTTATCCATTAGCCCAAGTGTATAAGGGAAGTTGTGCCCATAAGACTGAAATGCAATCATGAGGTTACATGTATACATAACATGGAAATGCACAGTAAATGGGGAGAATCATAGCTGTTATTGCACAAGAAGTTTACAACAAGAAAAAGTCAATTCATTCAAAAGGCAGTAATTCCATCATGCCTTTCGTGATGGCTTCCTCTAACAGAACCCTTAGTTCTGATAGGTTGACCTTCTGAACTCTAGTTGTCACCTGCTGTATACTCCCATGGTCTTTTGCTACCAGCAGCTCTCAATAACCATGAAACAGATACACAGGGGAAAAGGGCATAGAGAGTAATGTGCCTCCATTTCTGGGGGTGAGAGCCGGGTGGTGGTGGCACACGCCTTTAATCCCAGCACTCGGGAGACAGAGGCAGGAGGATCTCTGTGAGTTCGAGGCCAGCCTGGGCTACCAAGTGAGTTCCAGGAAAGGCGCAAAGCTACACAGAGAAACCCTGTCTCGAAAAAACCATTTCTGGGGGTGAGTATATACATAATCAGCCCAATTTAGTCTGTTTATTTATTTAGGCATGGACCTGTGAGTGTGTACTGTGTGCTTTTTATATGTGAAAGGTCATTCTAATATGAATGTGCAGATGTGTGTTTCTGTGTTTGAGTCTAGAGGTGCTTGCACATCTGGGGTGAGTTTGCATGTATAATCTTAAATTGTGGAGGCCTTTCTCTATGTTCTTAGCTTCATATATGAATGTGATTACATTTAAGTGGCAAGAACAGTGTTGCATGGACCTGTGAGCATCTCTGTGTGTCTATACATTCCCTAGCCCGAGTCCTTGAGGGGCTGCAAAAATAATTTCTCCAGAGTCCCTATTGCACTCTCTGGCCCACGACAGCCACAGATGAGAAAAAGGAGAAGAAAGGAAAGGCAAGAGATTCAGGAGTGGGAAGGCTCGGGAGCTAGGAGGAGAGAGAGGCTGAAACCTGGCAGAGGAGCAGTTGGGACCTCTGGGTGTCTGGGCTGGCTAGATTTTATGTCAACTTGATACAAGCTAGGGTCATTTGAGAGGAAGGAACTTCAGTTGAGAAAATGCATCCCTAAAATCGCAGTGCAGGCAAGCCTGTAAGGCATTTTCTTCATTAGTGATTGATGGGGAGAACCCAGCCCACTGTAGGTGGTGCCATCCCTAGGCGGGTGGTCCTGAGTTCTATAAGAAAGCAGGCTGAGCAAGCCATGGGGAACAATCCAGAAAGTAGCACCCATCCCTGGCCTCTGCATCAGCTCCTGCCTCCAGGTTCCTGCCTTGTGTTCCCACCCTGACTTCCCTGAATGCTGAACTATAAAGTGGGAATTCAAGCAAAATAAACCCTTTCCTCCCGAAGTTGCTTTTGGTCACAGTGTTTTGTCACAGAAATAGAAACACTAACTAAATAGTCTCTGATTGCTGTGACTAATGACAAATGGTTCCTTTTGTCCTCCTGGCTGTCTTCATAGGTCATGAAGCTCTCTAACCCTCTCTCTTCCTATCTTTGTCTCACAGTGACTCTACCCCCTGTCCCCATCCCATAGATTCTGCTGCAAGATGCAGAGACCATCTTAGTCTGTATTCTGCAGCAGTAGAATATTGGAAACCCAGAAATTATATGAACAGAATTTTTTTAATTTTGTGGTTCTGGAAGCAGTTATTTCCAAGAACACAGCACTGGTATCTGGTGAGGCTCTTGCTGTTGCTCTATAACATGACACAGGGGTCAGTAAATGTGACTAAGACTGAAGGAGAAACCTAAAAAGGAAACTGGACTTTCTTAGCTAGCCTACCACACTGATTACTTTGATCCATTCACAAAGTGTTATGTTTTAAATGTGAAATCTTTGTCACAAGTTCACACATCAACACTTTGTACCTAACTGATAACACTATTTGGGGAGGTGGCAGGACACCCTAAGGGGCAAAGCTTGCAAGAAAGAAGTAGGTTGTTGGAGGTAGCCTGATGGGTCATGACTACACTGCATGCTTCTCTCTAGATAGATAGATAGATATAGATAGATAGATAGATAGATAGATAGATAGATAGATAGATAGATAATAGATAGATAGATAGATAGATAGATAGATAGATAGATAGATAGATAGATAGATAGATAGATAGATGATAGATAGAGATATATTTCCCTGTGTGTGTATGTGTCCTCTTCCTCTTCTTCATCCTCCTCCTTCTTCTTCCATCTGCCATATACAAGAACAACCACAAGCTCCTTCATTTAGACCAAAGCCCCAAGTGCCACACCTAACCTGCCATGATACTGAGAGAAAATGAATCCTCTCCTCTCAGTTGCTTTGTAGCTTCAAGTTGGCCACAGTGACAAGAAAAGCAATGAATGCAGAAAAATGGTTCCAGAACTCTGTTGTTAGGATAAACATGACCCTGTTACTCAAAGGCTGGAATTGTTGTGATCTGGGGCTCCGGGTTTGAAATGGGAGCTCATGGCTGGTCACATAACAATGGCAAATGAGAAACAAGAGAGAAAGAGAAACTGGAATCAGGCCCAGGTTACAAGCCATCATATAATCTATCGAAAGTCCATTGTAAGTGACCTACTTCCACCAACCAGGTCTCACTTCTTAACGGTTCCATAATTCCCTGAAACAGAACCACCTGCTGTGGAACAAAATAATTCAAGCATATGTTTTGAGCTGTAGATGTAACCATCTCTTTAAATAAGAAACACAGAGCCGATTCAGAGATGAAAGCCAAGAGGTCAGAGCAATAGCTAAGAGCTGAGA